AAAAACTTTCCACCTAAATTAGGGCAACCAACTTCTGTTGTTCAAGTTCAAAGATTATTATTTCTATTACCTCCACAGAACAATGGGAGTTAGAAATGTTATTCCTGCAGCTTTTAATCCTGAGATTCCTTACTTAGGAATTTTAGAAATATTTTGTGACATTGGCTTTAATATAACACAAGATACTCTTTGGAGTATATGGTGTCTTATAGTATTCAGTTCCCTTAGCTTTGAAGGTGTGGGATACATTTATTATTCTTATTTTATAAAGCAGATTACAACTTACCAAAATATAACTATAACTGTTGCACAGTTATGTTGACTTTTCAATATTTTCTTGTAACTAGGACATATAATAGTAACAGGAAAAAAAATGGAGGGAACAGAAGAAGGAATAGAGATGGTGGTGGACTCGAAGGATCTGCAGAAACAGAGCAAAGCCTTTGACAAGCTCTCTGACCACGTCGAGGATCGCCAGCTAGATTCCACTCGCGTCCAAGAGGCTCTTCACTTTTTCTCGTACCATAATGTTACATTGTTTTCTATTTTTTTATCCAACGAGTATGTATGCGGTTGATTTCGTATGCTATAGCGTCGATTGCTGCATCTGCTGAAGTGGATTAGAATGCCATGTGCATCAGGTGAACCACAATTTTGGGCTTCTCGTGTTAATTTTCAATAGCTAACAACAAGAGCATTGTGGCTTTTTTTACTAAATTTTATTGAAAGTACTATTCTGAAATTGATATTGTTAATACTAATGTTGCATTATTTATACTTAATTTTAATTTTTGCTTGGTAGGAAACCATAACTGTGTTTGGATGACAATTAATGAGCTGAATGGAAATGGAATGAAGGGAGGATGAATAATCTTCCTTGTTTTAGAGTTTAATATAGGAATGTAAAGGATTCGAAGGGTGAATAATTGTATATTCAGATAGATTTTGGGGTAAATGCTAATTGAAAGTTTGGGATAAATTACACATGGAGTAACTTTGAAGAATGAACATTATGCTTTTGGCTTGGTGGTTATTCACTTGGTAATATGTGGGTGTTCCCCTCCTTTGTTCAAGGTTAAACCCCATAATATCAATAAAAAAAGTTGACGATGGGAGGCATGGTTGATATTTTCCCTTGAGTTTTAGTGTGACATAAGTTTGTGTAGGAAGTACAATTGTTTGAACCTCAAATCGACATTCTTAAATCTTAATCACAGATTTGGCATCATTTGCTATGTCCTAGGTTGTCAATAGCAGTCCGCAGCGCCGCTAAACTACAACAGTAGCGGGTAGCGACAGCCGGCTGCCACAACCCTCAATGCAATGCGACGCAGCCGTAGTGGAGTAACGTAGCAGCATTCACAGATGTGCAACGTGACGCTACGGGGAAGACGACCTCTTTTTTTTAAAAAAATTTGTTGCTCCTTCAAGATGACGTCGCTTTCCCTTTGAAATTGGGGTATTTTGTCAAGGAAAAATTTTATTATTAGGGTCACAATTTGTTGCTCTTTCACAAATGACGTCGACCTGAGAAGACGCGCGAAACAGAGGAAGAAGACGTGGCACCAAGAAGAGCTTGTAGAAAACGACACGACGCACTAAGAAGAGCTTGCAGAGAACGACGCAAAGAAGACGTTTCTTTGCTTCGAACTTGCTTGCTTCTTTGTTCCTTCGTCCTTCCACTCTTCTCCGGCGAGAGAGCTTGTATTTTTCGGTAAGCTCTCAACATTTCGAGGCTTTTGTTCTTATGTTCTTGAATTTATATTTTATTTATTTGTATTTCTCCTTTTTCACTGTTTTCATTGCCCTCTGCATTTTCTTTACTCTTTCTTTTATCTTCACTACCCATTCTTATTCTTCTTAGCTCAATCTGCGTTAGAATATCTTTCCACTTTGCAATGTTGATTGTCTTCATAAAAATTCTACCCTGTGACTTCTTCATATTCGTAGCGGCAATACCACTACCCACTACACCGATATACATTTTCGGGGTCAGCTGCTACCGGCCGCTAACTGCTACTGACAAGTATGGCTTTGTCTCACATTATCTCCCCCCTAGTGTGGTAAGTAAACACAAAAGAACTCTGCCGGTCTTCAACTTGATTATTTACTCTAAAAAATTTGAAAGTATAGCAGGTGTTTTGGTTCCTATTTTCATATCTCATTCGTGAAACTAAGATCGACACTTGTAGCTGTTTACTAATGTTTAATATCTAAGCTTTCCTTCATTTCATATAGTTGTACCTCTTGTATGTGAATTGAAATATCAAGTTCTATTATTACTAATAGAAATATAAAGTGAAATACTTGTTGAGTTCTGAAGTCAGAATTTAAACGTGAACGAAACATGACTATGTAAATAACAAAAGACCCTATAAAGTTATGTTTAAAATTCATAACTCCAATTTCCCTCTTGTCTTTTCTACATTATTGATTTGTTTTCCGTGTATGCATTTTGATCCAATCACAGGGAGAAAGAAATAGCTGTTGTTAAGATAAATGCAACAGATATTGATATAATTGCAAGTGAATTAGATCATGTAACTTCTTCAACTGATTGTTCCTCAATCTATCTAAAAGTTTATACACTCCAGTAAATATGTTTGCAAAAAAAGCATAACATGTAAATATTTTCTATTATATTTTTAAATTGAAAATTTCTTATACACTCCGGTATGATATTTATTCGGTATCCATTTTTAATTTTTATTATATCAATTTGATAAAATATCGATCAATTTTTTCATTAAATATAATGAAATTTCAAACATTATAAATGTCAGAAGAGCGTGTCAAAGTATCGAGAATTGTCGGATACGACATTTCACATTTTTTGAAGTATTATTGCAATGACATAGGTTCCAACGGTTGGACAAATAGGTGGCTGAAAGTACTCTGCTTGAAGTAGCTGCCATTGGGCACTTGCTTCACTAGAGAGGTGGGAATGAACAAGGGTCAATGCTTCAGAAGATGATACGTATCCACTTATGTTGTTTTGCATTGAAATTTGAACCTCAAATGTATACTATGACCTAATTCATTCAGCATTTCTTGAAATTGACATTGATGGGTGGGAAGTGTACACAATCTAGCTAACTTCTGCGTATTAAAGAAGATTCCGATAAAAACGTGTAGCTGGCTCCACACAGACAATGCAGAGGTCCCCCCCACGCTATGGTACCTTTTATTGCTTTGACCATACACTAATATATGTCTTCATATTTAATAATTTGTCGTCCCATTCTTTTATTTTATATTTTTTTGTGGGGGAATCCTACCAGTTTCCTCTTCAGAAAGGGTAGTGTACTTGCACTTAATGAGTGATAAAATCTCAATCCTTAGTCCTTGAATTGGTGTTGTAAATTCCCCATTAATTAGTTCACAGTACGTATTCTACAATTTGCATGAGAAACTCGGATGTGTCTCCCTTATCTTTTTCGCGTGATCTTATTCGTCAAGTCACATGCCTAATCGTAAAACAAGTAAAATTAGCAAACAGGAAAGAAAATAAAAATAAAATAAAAACTCCCAAAATGATCAGTACTATTCTCCAGGAAAGCTGACGTATTAAGGTACAAAATATAAGTATATTATGTCTCCAAAAAAATATATATTATATTATTAATCTCGATTTACTCCAGCTTTAAAAAGAGTGTCGGCTTTTGTTTTCCGGGGTGTGTTTTTGGAGTTTTGAGGGAAAGAAAATGAAAGATAAATAAAAGGGTTTGTGAGTTAAAATACGATAAGGGAGAAAAATGGAGAGTTTATAAAATATTTTTATAATTTTATCTTTTAAAAAAAAACTAATATAATTATTATATTTTATAAATTAAATCAAATTAAAAAATTATTTATATAATTTTTACATTTAAAAAATAATTTTTCCTCTAAAATTTTTCTCTCTCTAAAATGGTCTATTTCACATATATAAAAACAAAGGGAAAACATTTTCTCCTTTTAAAGGAGAAAATTTTTCTCATGTTAGTGACTCAAAGCATATGTGGGTCTCACCTTTAATTTTTTTCTCTTTCCACTATTTTGTGGGACCCACTTATACAATGTGTCACTAACATGAGAAAAAATTTCTCCTTTAAAAGGAGAAAATGTTTTCCCAAAAACAAATCACTTATCTCAAAATCATGCAATTGGAAACAACAACAAAAATAATTTCATTAAATAAATTCAAATAATTTTAAGAAAGAGAAAATAAAAAACTTGATAAAAAGAGTAAGAGCACATAAGTAATTTATTAAATTTTTCCTCCCCCCTCCCCACCCACTCCCAATTGGGGGAATTCTGATTTAAAGGTGAGAAGGGTATTAGAGAGTTTTGCAAAAAAATTCTATTCCCTTCACCCATTTTTTAAATATTGACTCCCAAACATTATTCTGAAAAAACATTCTTCTTCCCTTCCTTTTCACACCCTTAATTTTTTTATGCTTTCTATTGTGCATAAAAGTGAAGGAGTGTACGGGCGACAAAAATATTTCACTTTATTTTCATTATATTTTTTTATTGCGAATAGGACTATAGGAGTGAGGAAATGAGTGTTTTAATGATAAGAATGATTCATTTTGGCTGTGATACATCATGTTGTCTTTGTGATTATAACTTAAAATTTATCACTAATGATACTTGCATAAATTTTATTCCCCCAAATCCTTCACAAGTCATGCAAATCAAGAGAAAAGAGAAACTTTTACTTAGAGGTTTCCCATAATTTTATTCCCACAATTTATGTGAAAGCTTTACTATGAATCTATTACTACAATTTTTACTCAAATTCCACCCATCATATAATCACATGATTAATCTTTCAATATTTAAAGACTTCCGGACACAAATCCCTTGACAACAGATGAATGGAAGCAAGGAATGAACCCAAGAGGTAACATTCCTAAAAAAAATGGCTCCGTCAATAGAGCTGCAACGGAAATATACAATCTACATCTACTTAGACTTATATTCAATAATGATAATGGAACTAAAGAGTGCCAATCCAACATATTGGGCTGTTGCCTTGTTTGTTGCTTCAAGTGGGAAATGATAGATATCCAACCATAACCAACACAATAAAAGTATACGCACTTTCTGATTCCAATCTATGTAGTAAAATGAAAGCTCTTTCGTTTTCTTATTTTTCACCCCCCTACTTTCTGTACAACTAAAAGTGGTACAAGCATTTCCATATAAAGTTACAATGGTGATGATGGAAACCTATGCACAAGACTCCAAACATACAGCATCACTTGTAAATTTAAGAACTTCTATGGTGCTAGTAAAGAAACATTGAATGACTAAAGGAGTTTGGTAACCATTTTCCCACTTCTATGGTGCCATTACCAAACATTGAATGATATGAGGCAAATGTTGATGAACAAGAATTTGAACCGGTAATGCTGCAGGGCTTCCAAGACCAGCTGTTTGTAGCAACTCATCTACTCATCAGGAATGTTTTGTAAAATATATGCAAAAAAATCTTCATGCATCAGCCGCAAGTGACAAAAAAGAAACAACCTCAAAGATTGTGGCTATGACTCCTTTTGAGTGCCTTCCCCACCAGCAGACCGGGCTACTTGGAACTGAATGGCATACCGTCTCTGTAGTTCTCTAAGCCTTTCCATCAGTTCTTGGAATGTTGGTCGGCAAGCTGGATCACTGGTAGTAATGGACAAAGTTGTAAGTTAGCATAAGATGGTTAGTAATTGCACCACACTTAGCTTCAAAATAATGAGTATGACTGATAACCAATAATGTTAAATAAGAAAAATAAGTTCAATTGGTAATTAAATAAGTACAAGGGCAAACCCCAATGTACAAAGCTCCTCGACTTGCGAGGATTAGGGTAAAGATCTATTGTATGCAGTCTTACCCTTATATTTTTGCAAAGAGGTTATTTCCCATACTCAAACATGTGATCATAAACTCACAAGGAGCAACCTTACAACTGCTCCAAGGCTCGCCCTCGTAATTAAATAAGTATCCATTAAAATAAATAAGAAAAATATTGTTACTTAAAATTCCATGTTAACCTAAAACAGTTGAATGATATCTAATTATACAGGCTATTATCTATTAACTTTTTTGGTTTGAGTAAAACTCAAGCACCCAACACATGCTAACAACTTCAAGTTAGCTGCGTGAATTAATTAAAAAATTATGCTCAAGGGCTGTAAGCCTGTACTTCATCTAGCCTCTAGAGACGATGAAGATAATAAGTTAGGGAATCCTCACCATGCCAATAATTGAAGAACAGGAATATGGGAGAATGAAATGTTTCTACCTGCAGTACTCTCCACTAAAGATTGTTTCTCCCGTGTGATTTTAAAAGAGATACTTAGCATAGTAGCCATTCTCTCCAAATGGTCTCCATTAATTTTAACGGTTGTTTATTTTTCTAAAATAATGCACTAGCTTAAACACTGATCAGCATGCCCGAATTTGTATGTAGTCCACATGAAAAAGCTTAAAAGAAAACTAACGAAATTAAACAATCAAAAGGATGTAGAAAAATTGATAAAATTAAGGATTTTAATAACAAATATTCTGTTAAAAGTAGCAAACTCAAACCAAAGCCAAGTGATGGAACAGCTAATTTCTCATACACCTGAGGTCCAAGAGTATCAAAATGAGTTTTGGGCTACATCAAGTAAAATACCTAAATAATAAAGAAATAAGAGGGCCAATCACTCCAGTTTGATGAAACAGCAACTGATATGAAGATTAGTTTAAGCAAACTGACCAACTATTAGGACACAGATCAGATATAAATTTATCTATGTTCTTTTGCAAGGGTGATAATATTTGAGTTTAGATATTTAGAGCTGTGGGGAAGAAATAAAAGAAAAAAGTATTGACAGAGTGGCAAGAAGCACACCTATGCCAGCAGCTCTCAATTATAGAAGCCCACTGTGGATCAGCATCATCTGGAATTTCTAGCCGATTGTTCATAAATCCTACAGCTCCAATAACCTGCAAAAATCTTATGCACCCGCTGAGCATTAGCACACAGTGAAACACAATTACAGGCATTGAAGCATGAGATGACAATAAAAACTGCGTGTCACTATGGACTATGGTCTTTTTAGTTAGATTATGAGTAAATTAATAACTAAATAAGGGGTAACATGATGAAGCAATTAAAAAACCTAATTTGCACCCTCTATGGTAAGATGGTTGATAAGAACCCAATTCCAAAATCAAATAAAAATAACATAACACAAGATTTTGGCCTATAAACCCAGATTTTCTGATATATGTATTAATAATAAAACTATTACAACTGATGGAAATTGATCTACTCCTAAAGGGAAATTACAAGAATCCAAATGACATGAAAGAAAGGATAAAATGACTGAAGGAACGTAACAATGAGTGAAGCAATTCGAGAGGCCTCACTCTCCTAAGGGTCTCAATTCCAAAATATATCCAAGATACCGTCATACACTTCACATTCCCATCTTATACTCAGCCTAACTTCCTAGAATATTCTATTCTCCTTCCAAAAGTTAGTTATGCCACCTCATTGGTAGAACATAATTCCCTACTACCCACCTCACATACACATTTGAGTATATATCAATACCCCCCCCCCCCCCCCCCCCCAAAAAAAAAAAAAAAAAAAACATTCACCTTGTCCTCAAGGTGAGGTTCATCCCCCAAAAACCTTCCAACGGGATCCTATTGCTTGAATTGTAGAAACTCACATGCCCGAAGTATGATAATGTCCACCGGGATCCCATGACTCCTCTGCCACTCCCACTGGATTAGGATAATAGATATGTAGCTTCCAAATTTTTCCATAAGGAGCCAATGCTACTTCATAGTATAAGGAGAACATCCCAAGCTCATCATCAACAAAAAGAATGTCATCCAATTTAATATCTTGACTCAAAACAAGCTTATAGGGTGTCACTAAGAATGACAGATCCCATATTTGTTCGTCTTGAATGACTTTAACCACAACAAAGCCTATCATATTCCTTCGATTGTCATCAAAACATGGTCCATATAAAAGCAACACGAGCTCATGAAAAACAATTTCACCTGCTTCCAAGTATGAGCAGCCAATAGCCATGGTGGCTTCCTGAACATGTGCATTAGATCCCCTTTTTATAAAAGGGAAATTAAGATGTTGACGACCTTTGGTTGAACAGCTGCCATTTCCATTTCCACTACTAAGTTCACAAGGCAGGTTTCCAATCCCATATGAGATGCCACCTTCAACACAATTATCATTGTAATCATGGGATTTCCCCAAATATTATTTTTTTAAATAGACAATGGACCCATTCTGTCTCCCCTTCCGGTCAATATAGGAAAATGTTTCACTCGGCTTTAGCTCCAAAAGCTACACTTGCAGATCCATTAGCAGTGATGGGTTCGAAACTTGCTCCACGACCTTTTTCTCTAGAAATTGTCTCGAGACACTAACAAAGGTGGCACAACTTCCCCAATCTTTTAATATTTGTATCGTGTGCTGTTATATGGTGAGAAATTTTCTCAGCCATCTCCAAGCCCTTGTACTTGGGTGCCAGGTCTGCAATGTGGCTCCACCGTTTCCTCATTCTTAAAATCCAAACCATCCAAGAGTGAGTGAAACCCAATATAACATCCTTTGAAATTCGCGGTTGTTCACAATCGGGTAGGAGGATATTCTTATGGCGTTCATCCAAACCGAAGGTGTCTCTTTGTTCGGTGGTGTGGTTGTCAACTGTTTCAAAGTTGCAAGAAGTGGTTAGCTTCGGGACGTTGACTAAGTTGTAGCATACAGAGTTGATGGCTTCCATATCTCGAAGGTAAGGTTAGGAACTTAGGATGCAAGGTGTGGGTTTGAGTCTGGGACCAGGTTGGGCTCCATTGTTTCAAATTTGAGCTTCAGGTTTGGGTCTGACTTCATGAGTTGGGCTTTACATTTGGGTATAGGTTTCTGATGAAATATAAGACTGAAATGTATTTTTCATATATTGATTGATACCCAAAGGGATCTTTATATACAGATTACAAGGTAGTTAAGGAGTTCAAGTAATAAATAAAATACACAGTAACCGAAGAGGCGTCACACTACTCAAAGGAACAAGTAGCTGGAAACAAGTAGAAAACTCTAGAATATTCTACACTCCCCCTCAAGTTGGGAGATATATATTGATCATCCCCAACTTGCTAATTAAATCCTCAAAGATGGGTTTGTGTAATCCTTTGGTGAGAATGTCGGTTGTTTGCTCCTTGGTAGGTATATATGACAAACATACACTACCCTCCTCCAATTTTTCTTTGATAAAATGACGATCAACCTCCACATGTTTGGTTCTGTCATGATGTACAGGATTTTGAGCAATACTGACTGCAGCCTTATTATCACAATAGAGTCTCACAGGTAGAGAATAAGATATCTTTAATTCTCCAAGGAGCCTTCTTAACCAGATTCCTTCACAAATGCCATGGGCTAGCGCCCGAAATTCTGCTTCTGCACTGCTTCTGGCAACAACAGTTTGTTTCTTACTTCTCCAGGTCACAAGATTTCCCCAGACATAGGTACAATATCCTGAAGTGGATCTTCGGTCCATAGCAGAGCCAGCCCAATCAGCATCTGTATAGATTTCTATCATCCTCTTGTGTCCCCTTTTAAAGAGCATTCCTCGACCAGGGGTGTTTTTGAGGTACTTGAGGATTCTATAAACAGCACTAAGGTGTTTTTCCTTAGGAGAATGCATGAATTGGCTAACTATGCTAACCGCAAATGCAATATCAGGCCGAGTGTGAGATAAGTAGATCAGCTTCCCTACCAACCTTTGGTATTGCTCCCTGTCAACATCTTTTCCATCTTCAATTCCCAATTTAATATTGGGTTCAACTGGAGTTTCTGCAGGCTTGCACCCAAGCATACCTGTTTCTTGTAGCAGGTCTAGAATATATTTCTTCTGAGATAAGGAAATTCCCGCCTTGCTACGAGCAACTTCCATTCCAAGGAAATATTTGAGAGATCCAAGATCCTTTAGTTCAAACTGACTAGCTAAACCCCCTTTTAAAGATTTTATTTCTTCCCAGTCATCACCTGTGACAATTATGTCGTCAACATAAACAATGAGGATAGCAATTTTGCCACTATCGGAGTGTTTAAAAAATAAAGTGTGATCAGTCTGAGCTTGGATAAATCCTCTTTCTTTAACAACACGAGTAAACTTTTCAAACCACTCTCTAGGGGATTGTTTAAGTCCATAAAGAGATTTCTTCAACATGCATACAGAACCATCTCCCTGTTCAAAACCAGGTGGTGGATCCATGTAAACTTCCTCATGTAAGTCCCCATTCAAGAAAGCGTTCTTTACGTCCAATTGATGCAAGGGCCAATCAAGGTTGGCAGCAAGTGATAGTAAGACTCGGATAGAGTTAAGTTTGGCAACGGGAGCGAACGTCTCCTGATAGTCTATCCCATAAGTCTGAGTAAATCCTTTGGCAACCAATCTGGCCTTATATTTGTTGATGCTGTTATCTGCATTAAATTTTATTGTGAACACCCATTTGCAACCTACAGTTTTCTTTCCTCTGGGAAGTGCCACGGACTCCCAAGTTCCATTTTTTTAAGAGCATCCATTTCTTCAAAGACTGCATCCCTCCATTTAGGGTCATTAAGTGCCTCTTGGATATTTTTTGGTATTTTTGTACCGTCTAATATAGTGTTGAAAGCACGAAAACCTGGAGATAACTTTTCATATGAAATGTGATGAGAAATAGGATGAGCAGTGCAAGATCTAGTACCTTTTCGAAGGGCAATGGGCACATCTAGGTCAGCTGTACCAGTGTTCTCAAGTGGATTGCTGGAACTAGGACTCGGGTCAGAATCCTGGCAGTCTAGAGGATCTTGAGGAGATTTTCGCCTGCTGTAGAATTTTCCCCATTTACCGGGAGGATCTCCAGTCTCTGGTACAATTGCTGTCCTTGTCTCCTGTACATTAACTCCCCCTGACTCCAAAGGTAAAGAAACAACAGATGTTTCCAAGGGTAAAGGTAAGACAGTAGAATTATTTGGATTCCAAGACTTGTCTTCATTTATACCAATAGACTCCCCCTGAAGAGAAGTCGAGGGAAAAAATGATTGTGTTTCACAAAAAGTAACATCCATAGAAACAAAGACCTTTCGAAGAGAAGGTGAGTAGCACTTGTAACCTTTTTGATTAGGAGGATATCCTATGAAGACACATTTAACAGACTTATGATCAAGTTTGGACCTTTGATGTGGAGGAATATGAACAAAAACCACGCAGCCAAACAACTTTGGAGGAAGGGAAGAGAGAGCCCGAAAGGAGGGAAAAGAGCGGGTAAGGCAAGATATGGGAGAATGAAAATTCAGGACGCGAGAGGGCATCCGATTGATGAGATATGAGGCAGTCAAGACAGCCTCCCCCACAGGTATTTAGGGACATGCATTGTAGACAAGAGGGCTCTAGCAACTTCAATGAGATGTCTATTTTTCCTTTCAGCCACCCCATTTTGTTGAGGGGTGTTAGGACAAGAACTTTGATGGATAATACCTTGCTTGGTTAGGTAATCACCAAGAACAGAATTAAAATATTCAGTACCGTTGTCAGTTCGCAGGATTTGGATAGAGGTCTGGAATTGAGTTTGTACCATAGCATGAAAATTTTTAAAAGTGGCTGCAGCTTCAGACTTATCTTTTAGAAGATATACCCAGCATACTCTAGAATGATCATCAATAAAGGTAATAAACCAACGAGTTCCAGATATATTTTTTTCACGAGCTGGGCCCCAAATATCACTATGAATCAATGTAAATGGAGACGAAACATGATAATCTCTAGGGAAATAAGAAACACGAGAGTGTTTTGCAAACTGACAATCATCACAAAAAAAGGAACTTGGTTTTTTGTTGATAAATAAGTTTGGAAGCAGCTTTTGAAGATAAAAGAAATTTGGGTGTCCTAAACGACGATGCCACAACAAAACATCATTACAATCGTCTGATAAACATAAAGAGTGATTTGCAAAAAATCTCTTTTCATGAGAATCTTCTTCAAAATAGTAAAACCCTTCTTCCTCTCTAGCACTGCCAATCATCAGCCCCGAATCCTGTTCTTGAAAAACACAGGTTTTGGCAGAGAATTTAGCAACACAATGCAATTCAGAGGAAAGTTTACTAATAGAGATAAGGTTACAAGTAAGAGAAGGGACATGAAGGACAGAATTCAGAGTAATATGTTCAGAGAGCTTAATGGATCCCTTTCCCGCAATATTAAAGAAACTACCATCAGCCGTCCTTATTCGTGACTGGTGATAATAAGGGGTATAAGAACAAAACAGGGATGCATTACCTGTCATATGATCAGAAGCTCCCGAATCAAGAATCCAACGACTACTATGATCAACATGGAATGCCGTACCTTGTTGAGCAACATGACTAGTTGCCTTAGCAGATTGAGACATCACCTTCTGAAATTGCTCATAATTCTTACCGTTTAAACGGTGGTTAGTAATCTGTATAGCTGGGTTGTCTCCGGAAGACGAAGAACAGGGAAGAGGAAAGACACCGGAAACATTACCGGATGATTTTTCAGAATGCTTATTCTCAGCCTCAATATTTTCAATTTCCATTGTTCAAAATAAAAAAAAAACAAAAAAAACAAAAAAGGAACACCAATCGTTCAGAACTGAAAAATCACGAAGAGGAACCAACTGGACCCAACAAGAAGAGTGCTCCAATCGTGATTTAAACCCCCAGAACAGGAAGAGGAAGGCCAGGCGAGCCGTTCTGTGAAAGCCGCGTGACAAACGGAGGCCGGCAGGGCGGCGCGTGGCTCACATGCGCCGGAGAGGCAGTTCTGCAGTGGCGGCGAGTGGATGACTTTCCGGCGACGGGGCTGACGTGGGTCGACTCGGAAATGGCTTCTGAGCCCAATGGTGGCCTTGGTTTCGTGATTGGAGGGGTCCAGATATGGTTTCTGAGTTATTTTAATAAACAGTGAAAAATGGAAAACGGAAGGAAACGTGAAGGTTTACAAGATGACCACAGGATAACCTGCTCTTGATACCATGATGAAATATAAGACTGAAATGTATTTTTCATATATTGATTGACACCCAAAGGGATCTTTATATACAGATTACAAGGTAGTTAAGGAGTTGAAGTAATAAATAAAATACACAGTAACCGAAGAGGCATCACACTACTCAAAGGAACAAGTAGTAGCTAGAAACAAGTAGAAAACTCTAGAATATTCTACAGTTTCAGATTTGGTTGGATTTGGATCAAATTAATAGAAATTTGGGTATGACCAACTAGGTCAGTAATTTGGCCCAATTCTTGTAAAGTTGACCTAGCTTGCCCTTCTTTTATGTTTCTCTTTTGTTCGCAGGAACTCTCTTCCTTCCTCTCAAGTCTGGTGGTTCTGGTAATGGTGACGGTTGGGCTATCTCCGGCTATGAAGCACCGACTCCGACACGGCATTTTTGATACGTTCCAAATACGTTCTCGATACGACCATTAATTCGTCGATACGATACAATACGTTTCTGATACGTTCCCGATACGCGTATCGGATACGTTGAAAAAAAAAATCGGAGTATCGGTGCTTCATAGATCTCCGGCAGTTGTGGGGTCTTTCGTACCCCTATAACCCTTGCCAACACCTCAATCATATTCCCAAACTCTTCATCTCGCTCCCTTCCGACGATCTCTTCTTTATCATGCTTGATGAACGCAATACTGGTAGGGTGATTTCCATCCATTGTCCTCCTTTGGATTTTTGCTTCGTTGTTGGATTTCACCCACCTCTACTTCAGTTACATGCTTCTCCATTGTCACCACTTCACTCTCTGTCTCATCACCCTCAACCTTCTCCTTTAGAGTCTCTTTTTCTGGTCTTGATGCTTCTGATTCGTCCTCATTTTCCACACAGATCTCAGGTTGGTAAACCTGCAAAAATGCTTTTAAGAACATCCACCAACTTGCTTTTGGATTGAGCCAACTCCAGCATTTTACCATCTAAATACAGATCCTCTAAGGCCCTTCACAGCTGCTATCAACTTATCGTCATCATGGGTTTCCTCTGCTCGGAAATATTGTTCCAAGTAGATTAACTATCCCTAAGCTTCGTCATCTTCTAACATAGAATTTGGGGATTTTATTTCTCCGTAAATTGCTGCCTAGCGGGGCCATGGTTCAAAGCTCCCCAAGATCGGAGAGCTCTAATACCAATTTGATAAGAACCCAATTCCAAAATCAATTAAAAATAACAGAACACAAGATTTTGGCCTGGAAACCCAGACTTTCTGATATATGTATTAACAATAAAACCATTACAACTGATGAAAATTGATCTACTGCTAAAGGGAAATTATAAGAATCCAAATGACATGAAAGAAAGGATATAATGACAAAAGGAACAATGAGTGAAGCAATTCGAGAGGCATCACTCTCTCCCAAGGGTCTCAATTCCAAAAGGAATCCAAGATACCCTCACACACTTCACATTCCCATCTTATACTTAACCTAAACTCCTAGAATATGCTATTCTCCCTCCAAAAGTTAGTTATGCCACCTCATTGGTAGAACATAATTCCCTACTATCCACCTCACATACACCTTTATGAGTGTATTCCTGTCAATGGTTTATCTTCAAGAAATGGAATAACAAATCTAACAATATTAAATGTTTTAACCATGAAAACCAAATTTTACAGCAGCTTTTCATTCAATAAGCTTAACTATCATATCAATTTGATAATTCTTCATCTTCATAAATTTTCATGGTTCATGTACACATGAAAACAATACCTGTATTGGGTTGAGAGTATCCCAAGGGATCTTTTCAGTTGTAAGTTCCCACAATATCACCCCAAAGCTGTAAACATCAGACCTGATGTTCCCAAGAAGCAACAAAAATAGATATCCAAACAGAATTTTAGTAAGAAGAAGGAGAGAGAGAGAGAGAGAGCAATTATGGGCATAAAGCACACATACTTCTCATCTGAGGATTCATTACGAAGAACTTCTGGTGCCATCCATTGAGGCTACAAAGCAGAAAAATGCCAATAGAATCAGCAAGATATTTTGACTCGGTAGGAGAAAATTTTTTAAAAAGGGGTTAATTTCAAACAGATCAAAGATCTTATGGGCCGCAACAAATGAGAGCCTACCGTGCCCTTTCCAGTCTTAGTTGTGAGATATGCTTTATGCTTAAGACGCGAAAGACCAAAATCACCAACCTGTTCAGCTAAAGCATGATTAACATTTGTCTGGCTAAATATAAAACAATGCAATAATTCCTTAAGCAATCAAGTGCAAGAATATATAACAACATATGGAGAATAAAAATAAAAGTGACAAGTGGCAGACCTTCACACTCCAATTCCTATCAACTAGAAGATTTGAAGACTTTAAATCTCGATGGATGATTGGGGGGTTGCAATGATGAAGATAATTTACACCTCGTGCCTATAGAAAGAATAAAGCATACACCATTGCTTCAATCACAGTGATAGAGATCCTTTCTAAGATAACAAACTGAAGTTGAAGTCAAAACCAAATAGAGCTCCAAGAAGATGTCCAAAATGAATTAATAATAATGAAAAAGGAAAAGACCGCAAAAAATGGGAACATGCCCCTGTTCCTCAACAAACATCAGCATAACAAGAATGAGATATATTTACTTAGAACGAAGAGAGAGGTAGAGATCTTGTCCAAATACTGTTTTTAAGTACTCACAATATCTAAAGCGATATGAACTCGCCGTCTCCAATCAAGTTTGGATGTATTTCTCTGGAGCAAACGCAACAAGCTTCCACTGAATTGATAAAATACAAATGGACGCAACAATTATCAGCACAAACCAATATTTTGTGACACAGTACAACAAAGTAGAATAAAAATGCTCATGATACAGAGGATATCAGAAATAAAGTTCAGGACATACCGTGGGAGAAACTCTGTCACTATGCAGAGACGTTGAGGTGAAGTTACTGCCCCCATAAAGAGAAGAATATTTGGATGACGAAGTCTTTTCATGACAGACACCTTTCATACAAGACATTGTCGAATCAATGTGTTGTAAATAATTGTAATTATTTATTTATTTATTCATTCTAGAATCTTCTTTGGGCTTAGCCCGTTAGGTCGTTTAGTCTCTTTAAATAGAAAGTTCTTGTACAGTTGTAAAATACAATTCAATAATATATTTCACTACCTTTTTCAAGTTGGTATCAGAGCTCTCGATCCTGAGGGCTCTGCTTCCACAACTGCCGCCTTTAGAGCGAAATCCTATTTGTTAGCCTCGCCGCCACTAGCCGCCATCGGAACAAAATTTTGGGGACCTTTTGGACCAAGAGGACCACTGTTTGACTCCGTTTTCCAAATCTATCAATCTATGAACGTTTCCAGTAGTGGGTCTTTGATCTCGTCATAAAAATCGAATCTTTTTGGCCACTCGCGCCTCCTTTGATCAGATCAGATTTTTTTGTTGCTGTTTGAGACATTCAGAGACCTCTACTTGTCATAAAAATTGTATCTTTTTGGCCACTCGTGATCAGATCTGATTTTTTTGTTGCTGTTTGGGACATTCAGAAACCTCTACTTGTCATAAAAATTGGATCTTTTTGGCCACTCGTACCTCCTTTGATTAGATCTGATTTTTTTTTGTCGCTATTTGGGACGTTCAGAGGCTTCTACAACATTGTCTGTTGTTCTGCTGTTTGGGCTCTTTGGAGACTTTTTTTAACTTCATTACCCACTTCTTTTGGGTTGATCTCTTTTATTTGTCCATGGGACGTTGATGCACCTATTGTAAAAGTGTTGGACACACAAGAGACGTGTTTTCGTCTTCATGGGAAGTGTGATAATGTTACTCCATATATGAATATTCGGCAAGAGGAGTTGAAGCAGCTTAAGGCCGCTATTGATAATCTGTGTAAGCCATCTGATAGTTCTTTGATCTTGTCTGGTAAAAACACATTTTCCACATCTCTTCTTGCTTCTTACACTGATTTTAAAACCTCATGGATTTTAGATTCTGGTGCAACTGATCATATGACTTGTCTTGCTGAGTCTTTTCTTTCTTATCATCCTATTGTTGGTAGTCATACTATAGCCGTAGATGATGGGTCCCATAAATCAGTTATTGGTTCTGGTACCATTCAAATTCAACCTTCCTTGTTTCTTAAAAATGTTCTTTATGATCCTCAGCTTTCTACTAATCTTATCTACACACAAAAGCTTACAACTGATTTGAATTGTTCTATCACATTTTTCCCTTCTCATTGTGTTATTCAGGATCTTATCACGAGGAAGACAATTGGAGTTGCTGAGAAGCAGGTAGGTTGTATTATCTTCTTCCAGAACATGCTACAAATAATACCAAAAATCAACTATTGATGGCACGTCATCCTTCTACTGCAGAGTCTATGATTTGGCTCAACCACAAGCGTTTGGGGCACCCACCATTCAGTCTATTGAAGTCAATGTTTCCTTCTCTGTTTCTAAATCAGTCAGTTGAAACCTTCCATTGCGATGTTTGTGAATTTGCAAAACACCATCCAGTGTCATTTCTTTCTAGCACTACCAAAAGCAGTGAACCTTTTTCTCTTATCCATTCTGATGTTTGGAGCCCTTCTAAAGTGCATAGTATTTCAGATGCAAGGTGGTTTGTTTCTTTTATTGACAATTGTACTCGGGTGACATGGATTTTCTTGATGAAAGACAAGTCTAAAGTACCAAAGATATTTATTCGATTTTATCACATGGTTGAGACTCAGTTTGGTAAGAATATTAAAAGATTAAGATCTGATAATGGTACTGAGTACGTCAACCAACGTTTGTCGCAATTCATTTCAGACAGAGGTATGATTCATGAGCTCACATGTGTTGATACCCCTCAACAAAATGGAGTTGCTGAAAGAAAAAATCGTCATCTCCTTGAAGTTGCTAGAGCAATACTTTTTCAAACATCTGTTCCTAGTTCTTATTGGGGAGAAGCCGTCTTAGCTGCAGCCTTTTTGATCAACCGTTTACCTTCACGAGTCCTTAACAATACCCGTCCAATTCATTCCATGACTTCCTTCTTTCCTTCTATTCCGATTTTGCAGAGTCTTCCACCACGAGTGTTTGGATGTGTTGCCTTTGTCCATGTTCATAAACAACATCGCAGTAAGTTGGATCTTAGGGCTCTTAAGTGTGTCTTCCTTGGTTATGCCCCCGAAAAAAGGCTACAAGTGTTATCATCCACCAAGTCGAACATTTTTTGTTTCTATGGATGTCACCTTTCATGAATCTGAGCCTTATTTCCTGGGTCTTCATCTTCAGGGGAGAGCAGTTCTTCAGAAGACTCGTCCCCTTCCTTCTTTGATTCTGGATCAACCTTGTCTACTCCTACACCTCTTCCTAGTGTGTCTGCTCCTGTGTCTACTCCTGGTGTGTCAGAACCTTCAAATACACTTGAGATACAAAAGATTTTGACACTTGAATTGGTATATCAGAGGAGGAAACAACACATGCTGCCTCACCAGCAACCTCAATCGTCAGAACCACTGGTAAGTCCTGAATCTCCTGTTTCTGATTCTAATATTATTGTCTCTAATGACTTGCCTATTGCTTCTGATATTAACTCTCATGATTTGCCTATTGCTTCTAAAACCTCTGATGACTTACCCATTGCCTTGAGGAAAGGAAAAAGATCTTGTATCCAAAGATCTTGTCCCTCTTGTACTCAGCATCCTATCTCTCATTTTGTCTCTTCTACTAACATTTCTCTGCAGTATAGAAGCTTTATTTTAGCACTAGATTCTATCTTAATTGCAAAATCAGTACATGAAGCATTAAAAGATAAGAATTGGGCTCAAGCCATGCAAGAGGAGATGAATGCCTTGGAGAAAAATAAAACATGGGAGGATGTTGATAGACCTAATGGAAAGAAAGCAGCAGGGTGCAGATGGGTTTATACTCTAAAGTATAATTCTGATGGTACTCTTGAGAGATATAAAGTTCGATTAGTCGCCAAAGGTTACACTAAGACCTATGGCATTGATTATGAAGAAACTTTTGTCCCAGTTGCAAAGATGAATATTGTGAGAGTCTTGTTGTCTCTTGCTGCCCATTACAACTGGGATATCTATCAATTTGATGTAAAGAATGCTTTTCTTAATGGTGAGTTAGAAGAAGAGGTTTACATGGAGATCCCGCCTGATTTTGACTCTATGGATGGAGAAAATAAAGTTTGTAGGTTAAAGAAGACCTTGTATGGATTGAAACAGTCTCCCCGTGCCTGGTTTGGGATATTTACTAAGGTTATGATGACCAAAGGATACAAACAGAGTCAAGGAGATCACACACTTTTCTTTAAGCACTCACAAGATGGGAAGCTCACTGTGCTCCTTGTGTATGTCGATGACATTATTATAATAGGTGATGATATTGTGGAGAGACATGTTCTACAAGCACGACTAGCCTCTAAATTTGAAGTTAAAGACCTCGGGAGATTGAAATATTTCCTAGGGATAGAAGTAGTTCATTCAAAGGAAGGAATTTTTATCAGTCAGAGGAAATATATCCTTGATCTTCTTAAAGAAGCGAGAAAACTTGGATGTAAACCCTCTAGTACTCCTATTGAGCAGAATCACAAGATGGGTTATGAAGAGAAGAGTCCTCCAGTTGATAAAGGACACTATCAGCGGCTAGTTGGGAGGCTGATATATCTGGCTCGTACTAGACCAGACCTAGCTTATGCTGTTAGTATTGTGAGTCAATTTATGCATAATCCAAAGGTGAAACACTTGCAGGCGGTGGAGAGAATTCTTCAGTATCTTAAAGCCACTCCTGGTAAAGAATTGTTATTCCGGCGTGATGGCAATCTTTCTTTAGAAGTTTTTATTGATGTTGATTATGCTGGATCTGTAACTGATCGTCGATCTACCACTGGTTATTGTATGTTTCTTTGTGGTAACCTAGTGACATGGAGGACTAAGAAGCAGGATGTGATTGCTAGGTCAAGTGCAGAGGCTGAATTTCGGGCTATGGCTCAGGGCATTTGTGAATTATTGTGGTTGAGAATTATACTTGATGATCTCAAAATAAGATGTGAAGGACCTATGAAGCTGCTTTGTGATAATAAATCCGTCATTTGTATAGCTCATAATCTAGTTCAACATGATCGGACTAAGCACATTGAAGTAGACCGCCATTTCAACAAAGAGAAGCTTGATAGCGGGTTAATCATCACTCCATACATTCCTTCTGGACAACAACTAGCTGATATTCTGACGAAGGGACTTCCCTCAGAAAGGTTTCAAGAGCTTACTAGCAAGCTGGGAATGATAAATCTCTATTCTTCAGCTTGAGGGGGAGTGTTGTAAATAATTGTAATTATTTATTTATTTATTCATTCTAGAATCTTCTTTGGGCTTAGCCCATTAGGTCGTTTAGTCTCTTTAAATAGAAAGCTCTTGTACAATTGTAAAACACAATTCAATAATATATTTCACTACCTTTTTCAAGTCAATGCTATACAAACAAATCTTTAGGGAGGTTCAATTACACACAGAAACTACCTCATATGAAGTGGAATATGTCTGATTATTGAAATAGAAGCAAAAAAATAAAAATAAAATAAAAAATCAAAGACCCAAGCATTAGGAAGTAGAAGAACAAGTGCTTGCACATACAGCTCCATTTAGGCAACACTCTAAGATAGTACATCAATAATAAACACCTAGTATAACTGATAGCTATAGTTCCACTATTACCACTAAGGTTTCAGTATTCATCCAATTATGAGTTTTGACAATTCTTTTAATTGAAGCGAAACATTTTTAATATGCTATTAAGAATTATGAAAATTACCAAAATAATATAATCATGGTTTTAACACCAATGTTGTGTATCCATGTTCTCAAGGTCAATTGGAGCATAATGTCAGTTATCATGAGGGAAAAAACTATGACAAGAACAAGATCCTATCTATGGGTAGTATGAATAAAGCAGCTTTTATTCCATAGTCAGAAGGTTGATTATGGATCTCTTTCATGTGTTTGGCAGAAGTGCACGGATGATTGTTGATCCTTATTGAACATAACCAAACTTAATGAAGCAATCTCACAAGAATGGTTGGTTGATGGAACCAAGTTCGCATATTAAGAGACCAAAACTCAGAAATCCAACGTGCATGTAGATTGGTGCGACACATAAAAGCAATAAATATTATGATAGAAAAAGGTGTTAAAGATAAAACGTCATTAAAGTTAAATACACATAACAAAACCTACTATATTCTAAAATCCCAATTACTTAGCAATCAAAGCATTGTTTTTATTTAGGCTTAGCTGACTTCCTCATCATATGGATAAGATTTAGTCTATTTCTGAACATAATAAACAAATTAGACTACCAGAAAGTATACCTCTTGTCTGAAGGACTGTATCACATCATCTGAGTATTCTGGGTTTGAGATAACCTTGACAGCAACATCCTGTAGAAAAATGAATATAAGTTGAAATTAGAATAGCAGCCGGTAAATTTTAGTTTACATTTGCAACATGCATTTCACAGGCCTTCCAGAAACCTAATGATACCTTAATTAAGGAATGTTCAATTTATCACATTAACGGACCTCAGTGTACTAAATGCTAGTCATTTGAGTTGCAACACACAATTTGCATAATATATACATGAAAATTTTAAACATGCTAAATCTTAAATTCTGATAAGTTGCCTGATAAAATATCCATTATAATGCACGAACTTAAAGCCAGGAATTGCAGGAAGAGAAAAGAACATACTGATCCATTCCACAGAGCATGATATACAGTTCCACAAGAACCTGCAAAGCAACAACAGAAAGGTAAAAATAGAAAACAGATATATCATACCAATGCATAATAACCATTGATCACTAGATATTTGGGTTTGCAAGCACAGGCATCAAATTATCTAATAAAGAAGCAAACAAATTTCAAAAGTAAGAATTCTAAATACAGATAGCATGTCAAGATTGTGTAAACAAATATTAGTTTTTTGGTTGATGCAAAGATATAATCAAAAGCTTATTTTCTCAAGCATGGCATTCTAGTTAAGAACATGACTACCTTGCCCAATTTGTTCTCCAATTGTCAGGTCCTCCCACAAAATTTCATAATCCAAGCCATCAGTGTCAACATCTACTTTATTATTGACCACAGAACTGCTGCCACTCCCACAGCTGCTGGTACTGCTTGTGCTGTTAACATTAAAAGAGGACCATGATCCTGAAGCCTCATTATTAGCAGGTCGATGACTCTCACCTGCCAGGCTTTCTGGCTTCAATGGAGAAGAAAGATTCTTCTGATCAACTGGCTCATTTTCTTGATCTCCCTGAAACCAAGGCCAAGCAACATGAATATTCCTTCCCTCAGATCCTTCTCGATCATTTGCTCTCCATGGCCATGATAATGTTCTCTTTTGAATCCATGCTTCAGCCTTAGAAGTTATGATCTTGTGAATAGGTTTTCCTTCACTCTCATCGCCATAGTCTCTCATAGTTTTTGCTTGGGATTTCTCTTCAACATGAAAAAATACTCCAAAAGGAGATGGTGGCACCTCTCCTCTGGGTGTGCTAGCTCCACTGGAGTTACCATCATCTCTCTGATCAGAGAGAACATAGTCTGAGAAACTAAGCTCAGAATGATGACTTTCTCCGCTCCCACCTTCACGGTTGACATTATTTTCTCCAGTCCGGATTCTAGACTTAACTCTGTTGCTCACCTTTGATGCCTGTTTTTAATGGTTGCAACATTAAGATATGCCAAACTACACTAAAATACAGAAAAAGAAAGAGGACAAGACAAACCAAATTTGAGATTTTTGATGCTAGAGCAACTTGAAGTGGCAGCTGAGAGTCAAGGCCGAGTTTATTTGCAATGCTACTTCTAGGACAGTTGGAACCCGAATCTGGTTCTGCATTCTTCACTACTGAAAAGGGAACTCTGGTTTCAAGAAAGGGTCGTGAATCACTGGAGACACAAATAATCCCAATCAAGCTTCCATCATCATCATTGAAAGGTGTATTGGTCCCTACAGCTAAAAACTTGTCCCCCATCTTATTCTTGACAGGGAATTGGCCAGTCCAGCTCTCTCCCAGTTTGACATGGTTGAATATATCATAGGCTGAGGCAAAATCTCTGGGGTCTACAAGTAGCTCAATCCCGTCCAGTCCAAGAACTTCTGCTGCTGCATAACCATACAGATTTTCAGCACTACGGTTCCTGCAAAATGATGATTACACAGATTGAACCCAAAAAAAAAAAGGCTTTTACTGTAAATTAGCAACAAAAACAAACACCCCACATAACTAAACTAGAATAACTATCTGTTATCAAAAAAAAAAAAAAAAAAAAAAACTAGAATAACTATCAATTACTTACACAGATTTTCGGTTAGAATATCTAGATGATTATATGTTAATATAATTTAGAGTATCTAGGGAGTCTATTGCCACTAGTTTCCCTATTTCCTTATATTTTTGTTTCCTTTTAATAAATAGACCCTATAATTTCAACATTTTCAGCTCTAGGGTTCCTGCAAAATGATGACTACACAGATTGACCCACCAAAAATAAAATAAAAAAAAATAAAAAAAGGCTTTTACTGTAAATTAGCAAGAAAAAGAAACACCCCACATAACTAAACTTGAAGAACCATCAAATACTCACTCACCAGTATATGATACGACATTGAAGATCCAATATATGAACAGAATGACCCATTAACTGCAAGATATTGAGATACTGCCCATCATTTTGATGTTGAGGATCTTGATTGCTACTCTCCTTCCGCAAAGGTGAAGAAGAGCCTTTGTTATACGCAGCACCCAACCTAGAACGCTGCGGTGACACGGAGTGAGACCTGCGTTGCTGTGAGAGTTTGAGCTTCGACATTTCTTGCTTGAGATGAGCATGACCAGCTTCCAGACATTCAATCTTCTTGAGAAGCTCTTGTTCTGATGATGGGGTTCCCATTTTTTTTATTTTTTGACTTCTCAAACAATAACCCTCAACACAGAACACACAACACAATAGAAAACAAAGTTACAGTTGATCAAGTTCACACACTAAGAAAGAAAGAAAGAAAGAAGAACATAACATATGCTTGCAAGGGTCAACTCAATAAGCTCTTCTTCTTTTTTAAGCTTTATCTATTGTAGATTCAGCTTCTTTTATTTATTTTTTTCTAGTTTCTCTTAGTGTGGCTCTTTTGTGGTGTTATTTATGGGGTCCCTTTTGGAAAATAAAATTTTTATCTATTACTCCTGCATCTTTTAAAATTTTCATTTCAGTACTTGTTCATTAAGTTTTGTTGCAGAATGTTTCCTACAAGCAATCACAAACCCCATGGCCCAATTCAATACTCAGTTGATATTCATATTACTATAGTCTATAGTGTTATTATTAGGGAAAAATAAATTTTATGTTGGACAAGAATTTTAATCTCATGTCATAGATATATCAAGTGTGGGATCTATCTATTTAAAAAAAAACAAAATAAAAAAATAAGTGACATGCTTTTTTATGGTGTGTGTAGGAAGGGTTTGTTTTCTTATGCAACATGAGAAAAATAAACCCCTTATTATTATTATTATTATTATTATATTATTACTAAAAAAATTCCCTATTTATCTAATCACCGTTCGATCAGTATTTTCTTTCATTTCAGAAATTTTTCAGCATTTTTTTCTCCCATCCAAAATTAGATAAATATTGGATTGATAGTAAATTTTTTTGGTAATAAAAATATTCCTCTCTATTATTATAGTGTTTGATTGCTCAAAACGTGATGAACTAAATAGTAAAATAACAGCAAACTATCAAGGGGGTTGACCTTATCCAAAGAAGAGTATTAATACAAAATTGTAATAACCCTTCAACTTCTTTATTGTTTCCTCTGAACAATTTTATTTTATTTTTTTATTTTGGGCTGGTGCTGCACATTAATAGCTCTCAGTTTCATAAATTCGAATATGAGTGCTTCCTTGTTTTAGTAAAACCAAGCATGATTTGGGTGTTGATATTTTGGATTGTGTACGGAGATATCAGATAGTAGCAAATTTTTTTTTTTTTTTTTTTTTTTAAAGAAAAAGAACTCCACTAATGATCCATGTGGGAGAGTCACAGTTTGTGTTAGGATTTATATCTTACAAAGCAGAGGAGAGGGCACATGTTGTCAGGATTGCAAAAATCACGAGCACTGCGAATAATAGTATATCTATGGTATTCACACCACAAGTACCATGAATAATGGTGTCTTTATGGTATCCACATAAAATGTGCAGTCTCAACTAACAATTGACGATTTGCGTAGATGGAGTTCTCCCTTCACATTGCAATGCTACTTTTGTGGGTTTTTATGCTGCCCATGTACTATTCACTTTACGAGTCTAATCAAACTTCAATTCTCATATCCTAAATTTCATTTCATGAATTTAAACTTTAACTTCAATCTATTTTAAGTATGTGACTATTTATGTAACATTGGCAATGACACCAAAATCTTATTTTAGTATCATAAACAAAGGATGGTATATATAATAATACATCATTATTATCCAAGTAAGGACAATATTTGAAGTGATATATTTGTAACTAATTAATGTTATTATGTAGTTTTAGTCCTTTTGTCCCCGATATATTAATTGAACACAAGACATGAAATGTGTTTTTTTTTTTTTCTTTTTTGTATATTTTAATATTTTGTTTTTTAATGTCTAAGTAAGCTTTATAAAACAAAAATGAGATAAATATCTCATATTGATTCATTTAATCAAAGCCAAGCATTTCACGGTCTCAGTCAATCAATCGAGAGGCTTGAAGATAATACTCCCATTGAAAGAGACAAATCTAATATAGGTCACTCGTGACATATTTAAGTCTACCAACTTTATAATCAACCTTATTTCAAGCAACATTTAATAGCATTCAAACTTCAACTTCTCGTATAAGAAACGGTAGTGAATTACATACATCATTATCACCATAGAAACAACTTAATTATGACCGTCATGTTACTATTCATGTAAAGTTTTCAAGGTACGTAGGTCAGTCCATTATCTTATTACTCTAATAATATGTACTCAGGTGGTTACTTGATTTCTTATATTATAAACTCATGAGATATGGAGCTATCATCTACACACGTATTAGTTTCTATTTATTAGTATCCAAAAAAAGTTTCTATTTATTATTGTTGTCTCCATTTCAAAAAAAATATACTTGACTAGGGACATTTAAAAATATTTTGATTTTGTCTAATAGGGTCTTGCACTCAAGACATGCATTTGATATATTATGGCATTGGCATTGATACTGAGCTTATTATTCTAAGGATTTTATTATATTTATTAATGAAAAATTAACCCAATAAATAATTAAATATTATAAAAAAAATTAGCACAAGTACTAATTAATGCATGTGATGCACAATATCTTGGATTGATGGAGGTTTGGAATGTTGTTTTGTAACTTTATAAATAACATTTTAATAAAAATGTGAGAAATTTATCTATGAAAAGTATGTTATCCTCGTTTTATAAAATTTTCATATTAAATTTGGACTTAATTTTTATATTTCTTTTTGCTTTTAATTAATAATATATTTAGCAGTTTAATTTAGAATATTATTATTTATCTTATGAAAAAAAACATAGGATTTAATATTTTGATTCATTATTGTTATCAAGCTGAGTTTAACCAAGAAGTTATTTATTATTCTTCATCTACTTAACTATTTTGGCTGGGTTATAGAATTAATGTGTGCTAAAAACATCCAGAATGATATGATAAAAGTAATTTCTACGTGTCCCATTATTTTTATCAGATTCAGTAACAAAATGCAGTCTTCTCTCAAAAAGCATAAAAAGCTAAAAGTATCAACAACAAAAAAAATCAGATGTTATCTTTGCGATTACATTGAATATTGATTTTGTGTCAATGCGACTTTGAAAAAAAATATTAAAGAACCCACTATAGGAAGAACATTAAAATACAAAGTATCATAAAACAATTTGCTAAATACAAGGATTATTTCGATACTTTTTAAAAAAAAAAATATACAATACCAAAGATAATTTGTTAATAATTTATTATTTATTAGTTATATTTAGTGAATTTTTATCAAGAGTAATAAACTAACAATTAAAGATAAAAAAAATAAACTAACAATTAACAAAAATTCACTCATTTAAATTTGGTGTCATTATCAGTACTCTAACCACTCTCGTGGGTAGTTCTAAGAATGTCCAAAATTCACGTGGGCGTGCGCCCACAGAAGTTCCGGACGCTTGAAAGAGACAATGGACAAAATGGAATGCGACTATCTTTGCCAATTCAGGGATAATATTCTTCTTTTTTTTTTCTTTTTTTTTTTGGTAACAGGGATAATATTCTTTATATATTGAATCTTTATCTGAATTTCAAAAATTAAAATATCTTCACATTAGTTATTTAGAAAATTTCATCATTAAATATGCTTTTAAATTTGGATCCATCGGATGTCCTGTGACAGAACATCCTGCAAAAAATAATAATAATAATGTACTACGAAAAATATATAGTTTTTTTTTGTCCATACTCCTTATAACTATGTACTACAGTAATACATAATTATAATATTAAAAAAAAGTATACACTTTATAACTATGTACTAGCCGTAGTAAATAGTTATTTTTTTGTTACAGAAATTCCCGCAACATGATTCTTATATTTCCCCTAGTTCTTTAAAAAATTCAAAAAATTAATCTCCCAATAATATAAAATATTCACCAAAGTCATCCATATAGAAGATTAAAATGATGATATAAAAAAATGAATATGGTGACAATATTGTATATTTAATGAATTAATTTAATAAAAGAATCTTTAAGAAACTAATTTAGGGGGTGTTTGTTACTCAGATTATATTGAAATTCCTTGGAAAGCTTCATATGGAAAATTAAAATGTTATGTTTGGTTGCAACAAATGCAAATCTTTCCCTGGTAAAAAACTTGCCTGATTTTTGTTGCTATGTGTAAATTGTTGTACAGTTATGTTGTTAGAAAACCCAAAGTTTAGGTGGGATAATTTTTTGCATGGAAAAGTAAAAAGCAACTAAAATAATATTGACCAAATTAACCCTACTTTTTGTGTACTAATTTTGAAAAAAAGAAGTAAAAGTGGGGTTATGTTTGTAAAATAACCTACATTCCTACTACTATTTCACAGTCAACCAAACATCAATTCATTAAACTTAATCAAATATTTCTGGGATAAATTTTGATCAACCAAACACATTTTTGTAACTTATCCGGAATAAAATATTTCCAATCACATTCCGGCAAAATTATTTTCTCAGTAAAAATTTTTTTTCTCTTGTAACAAACGCTCCCTTAGTGACAAAATTTTTTAGAATATTAATGTGACAACGACAAGACCTTGATAGTTTATCCTATGATATATTCATATTTAAAGGGAATTAAAGTCAGTGCTGCATTTCTTTATGATTGGCATGCCATGTTGCCAGTCAAACAGAAAGTGCCATTCAGTGAGAAATAAGAATTGTAATTAGTCCTAAGTCCTAACAGTCATCGTTATGTCCTGAGATCGGTCATGGTCTTTAAAATACTTTTACGAAAAAAATAAATACATTGTGAATAAGTAGTTTCGGAAGAATTTACACATACCCCAACTAATTTATCTTTTTAATCCGATCAAAGACAGATTATTAATGTGGAAATTAAAAAGATTTACGAGAAATTTATGCCAAAATATGATATTTAAATAATGTAGAGTAACGCGAAATCTTTATCAAGTTATGGCCATGCATCTGTTTATTGTTCAGACTTCGGTGTCAGTTCGTCACAAGCAAAGAAACCAATAATATAATCGAATATTCTTTTTAAAGGAGCCACTGGTGGTGGCGCACAATAGTAAAGCAACTTATCTGGCAAGATGTGACCATAAATTTTAATGAATTTCGATTGTGTAGTACAACTTTTCTTAAAAACAAAATAATTAATCCCACTATATAACCAGATAAAGTTAAAACATAAGATCCCCATAATGCTCCATCTATGAAAAAAAAAAAAAAGTTCTATAAAACTAAGGAAAAAACTATTCTTATATTATATGAGATGAGTTTTCTCTCCTACACACCCTTCGATAAATGTGCCACCTTTTTCTTTTTATTTTTTCAAGTAGTGGAGCTCACAAGTTTGTCTCTATGACCTGAGATAACTTATCTCTTTTAACATGAGATTAATAAAACCCTAAAACTAAACACTGATGCAGCTTTTCAAAGTGCTACAGTTTCAGCTGGAATAGGTGTCATTTTCAAAGATCATCAAGGCAAGTTCTTACTATCTTATAATATATACATTGGAGATGCTACTAGCATCTTAAACGATAATGAAGCTTGGGCTTTACTCATGGGTAATGTTCTACAAATAAGGGATTACAGGAAATACAACCAATTCTTAACTCTCAGAACATGAATCTATCCAGGTACCTAAATCAATAGTTCTGTTCATGCTTGGAGAGGCCAATGCAGTTGCTGACATGTTGGCCAAAGATGCATCAAAACACAACGTTACTGACCTGTATTTGGAGTGCACACAGTTCTTCATACAGACCTCAGTATAGGACAAGTTTGGCACGGCAGTCTCTAAAGTCCTTTCATTCTGCCGAGATGATACAAGACATTCTTCTGTGACAAGTTCCTCAAGGAAGATAGGTTTTACTGTTCTGTAATGTTGTTGAATTTGCAAGGTGTTTCATCCTCTACACGGAGAATGCCAAACTTTGGATAGCATTTTGGATCATTGTTGTACTTTCTTATTCTTTCTTGTAAGAGTTTATACATAAAAGTGTGTATAGCTCATACGAGATCATGTAAAGAGAAGAAAAAATAAAATAAAACATAAACTCCACACATTTTTATGTGTACGTATGAGATAATTTTATATCCTACAATATGAGAAACATTAAACCCTTCTTATAATACATAATTCTACTGGACAATATATAAAAATAAACAATTCTCCTACTTGTGATGTTTAAACGGTGAATTCAAGAACAAGATACTACCCAAGATTCAAGCTCACCAAACCATCCATTAATCAACATAAGCTTTGGAGTTCTCTGAGGATATTCACTCCCCGGTGCTTTCTGGACTGGCATTTGTGACTAATTTATATGTTAATGTATCGAGGAATAAAATAAATCTGCAAAACACACACATAGATAGATAAAGAGGGAAGTGCATATTTATTTATTTATTTATTTATTGTAAACAAGGAGGGGCTAAAACCCCAAGTGCATATTTATTTTTAATTCAAAAAAAAAGGCAGCTTTCACGAAGTTCCAAACAATACAGGCTAACCAAGCTTTTATTACAAAGAAGGTATGTACAGGCGATGAGGAAAAAATAAGGTGGAGAGTAGAAAAGTAACATTGCAGAGAGCAAACCTTGTTGTAGAGAAAGATTTTACAATTAATTGCAAAGTTGGAAAGGCATACGGTACAAGCAGTTACTTTCAGAACAGAGAACAATGGCAGGAGATAGATGCAGTTCAATCCAACCATGGAGTGGAGTCCACTGTTGCTGCTAATGATTTAAGCATTTGCTAGAAAAATTTGGTAGGACACCCACTTGCCCATGACGATGTACACATACTGGCGAGACAGCATTTCATCTACTCTGCCACTACTTTATCAGTAAATTTAAGGTTACATTTAGCTACAAATTAACTAGCCACTCTTCTTGTTCCGAACAAATTTTGCCAGGGTGCAAAATAACAATCCAACTTGGTAGAATTTAGAATTATGTGCGACTGTGATAACTGGCCAAATCAGCTTGTCCAAAGGCTTGTCCCTTGAGTTTCCTTGTTAGGTGAGCATATTCCGAGTATGACAACAAACTGTCTAACTGTCAACATCAGAGGTGGTGCCTGGGGGCTTTAATTTTACAGTTGCAAAATACCTAACTAACACTTTGAGCTTCTCCGTGTCACAGGTAGTTCAAGAAGAACAAGAAAGTAACATCGTTCTGCCTCTCTGATATATTGGACTTCGCCGTTCATTAACTTTAGAATCTTCCTGCTCATGCTCAACCCTAAACCTTCTTGAGTCACCCACTGGCTGTTATGGAACATATCCTGAATCAATTCAGGAGGAAGACCTTCACCAGGACATACCATCCTTCGCACAAAATAAATAAAACACAATTACTCAAATAGAATTCCCTTGAAAATAATAATAGCAAAGTGAAAATTAAATGAACAGAAAAGCATCATCATTTCAGCACTAAATTACGAGTGGCTAAATATATGCATCTAAGAATTGGAATACAGTGCATTGCATTTAGTTAATAACCAACATTTTTTTTTTTTTCTTATCAAAACATTTTTTCTTCCTTACTGTAATCTCTTTACAAGAAATTAAGTGCATCGTCAAGAGTGCAAAGAGAATCAATAAAACAGATCCTATAAGGGTCTTCCATAGAGGGTTATAAGCAGAGGGTAGGTCATTTCATTAACCCACAAATTACTAGTCATTATATGGTTACTTAAAAGGTGTTGGTGTCTTTCTCCTTATCAGGGGTGAGTTCAGATGGGAAATTTAGATTTTACAATAGCAATCTACACAGATTCATAATATTCAAATATCAAATTGTCATATTAAGACAGAATTTAAACCTGAAGCTTATAAGTTAGGGTTGTGATTATCATCTGTAACACTAAATTGAGGGAGAGAGGGAGAGAAGGGGGGGGGGGGGGAGGGGGGATGACTTGAAGATCATGCCACTGTACCTAAATTCAGCATGGAGAAGAGTAAGTCCATCTGAAATTTGTTTTATTCTTGGACGTACGTGAATCTCTACCCAGCCATCTGGAGATGGTGCATAGCGCACCATATTCAATAAGAAATCAGCTAAGACTTGTTGAATCCTCAATTGATCACCATAAACAGCCAACGTCTTGATTTCTTCAGGAATATCACGAATCAACTGTAGATTCCTTTCTCTTAGCAATAGCATTACTTGGCTAACAACTGCATTTATGACATTCCCAAGCAAGAATTCCCCCTTTTCAAGCTCCAAGGACCTAACTCCAAAGGAAGATAAAGACATGAATTTTGCCTTCTCTAAAGGAAACCAAAGCAGTAAGTTTAGGGGGACACCAAAGTAATTAAGCACACTAAAGCCAACTATCAAAGAATGTAAAACTTGAAAGTATCAACCCTCTAGCAAAGCATGTTATAGCAAGATAGAATTGATATTTGATATTCCCATGATACATAAAATTCCCCAATTTACATATCTTAGCAAGAAGGCAGAATACAAATATGGTGAGCTTAACAACTATACCAGGTTTGTATTCTTAGCATTGCCTGAGAAGATAATTCAACATAAAATCATCTTATACACCAATTTACAAATGCAAATTCAATGCCCAATTAGCATACTAACATGTCATCACGAATCATATGACGTGTGAAAAAGCCTGTTGACCTTTAGCACAATTAATAAGCAAGGGTCTAAGAATAACTTATAATTCCAACACCCCTCACATGAAAGAAAGCCTGCGAGGCCTGAAATGTGTATGGATATTGGATATCAGACTCACAAATCAAAGTTATCTAATATTGGAACTACACATATTTGTCACTGGACTGTAGAGCAACAAGTTAAACCTTAGGACAATTTGGTGCCTTAATATCATGTCAAAGTACCATTTGTTCTTAAAACTTAAGCTATTACATTCCAATACAGTACAGCTTTGAATTGTTAGTCTGTAATCCATCACATTTCAAGCCCAACAGGCTTTCATGTGAGGGATTTTGGACTTCTATAGCCAAATTTAATATCTTTTAACATGTTTTCCCAGACAACCAAAAGATTTTAAATGATTGCTCAGAAAACTCACCCATCCTCAATGCTGTCCAGATCAATGTCCCGTATTATCTTTACCATTTGCTTCTCACAAGCAGCACTGGTCTCAAGAAACTGTTTTTGCTCATCAGTCAATGCTGTAGCCTCCAAAAGGGAGTTTGTAAAGCGTATGCCACTCAAAGGATTCTTTACTTCTTGACAAATATAAGCTAACTCTTTCATCCTAGCAAAGCAATGCTTCTCCTGTTGTTTCTGGACTTTCAGAACCTGTTGAAGTTCAGGACTCACGATTTGCAAAAAACAAAAAGCCCCAATTATTTGACCATCCATGTTGACCCTCTTATTTGCTGTTAAGAAAGTTTGCACATACTTTCCATGTCGGTCAAGAAATGAAAAAGGAAATTTATCTGTATCTTGTCCACCAAGAGCATTGTGCAAGACAATCATGAGCTTAGTTATAGCATCTGAACCCTTCAACTGGCAGCAACTACCAAAAACCTCACCCACCAACGTTTTTCCAATGACATCCGGACGGCCCCAACCAGTAAGTTTTTCCATGGCAGTGTTCCACTCTAAGCAACACGTGTTATCATCCGATGCAAAAATGGGAGGGATCAATGCATTTGGACTATGCACAATAGCCTTGTAATCACCTTGTATGTGAATGAATTTATCCATTACAACTTTTTGACCAGTAACATCCTGACCAACAAAGCACACTCCAACTATATTATTTGTATAATCCTTGCTGGAGCAAGCATTCACCAGTATAAAAACTGCCTTATTTTGATGTTCGGGGCCAAACGTCCTCATTTTTATCTCAACGTTCTTATCTTCTTCACCTGTACTAATTAAATTCAAGTTATGCCATTGTACAAGCAATTGTCAATACCTTACTTTTCCTAAAGCCAAACTAGATAGTAGGTAGCAGTTTATTTCTAAGCTCAGTGACATATGGCAGCACAATTACATCCGGTCTGCCTGGTTGAGTAGGAGAGAAATAGGAAAACAGAAGATAGAGGAAAGTGAAAATGATTTTCAACTAAGGTCAGGGTACTAAGTGAAAATAAGTACGTTTTATTTTTCGACATCTCATACTTTTGTTATACCAAGACAGTAACAGAAGATGGAGGAAAGTAAAAATGATTTTCAACTAAAGTCAGGGTACAAAGTGAAAATAAGTTCGTTTTATTTTTCGACATCTCATGCTTTTGTTATACCAAGACAGTGTAAATTGATTTTCATTCCAAATTTTCCACCTTCCCACTTTCAACCTACTCAAACAAAGCAGACTCTAAAGCCCAAATGACATGATTCCTAACCAACAGAGGACGGCAATGGATTGGACCATGAATATTCTTCTTTTCTTCTTGTTCTTTCCTTTTTTAAAAGCTTTGCATTGTTATGCAGTTGAAATCTATGCCCACATTGCAGTCATTATTGAATTACAAATCACATGACTATTACTTACATGATTGTGCATCCATTAATTTGTGCTTGGTTAAGTCATGCTCTTCCTAATGGTTTGGTCAGAGTTCTCCTATTTGATAAACTCAATGAATAGGCCAGAAAACCAGAGTTTAAGAGAGAATACCTCTTAAAGCACGAGAAAGAAGCTTGTCTACAGTTTCTTCAAACTCCTTATACACAAGATCATGAACCAAGGACTTCCCCATTGCCTCCTCAACTGAGAGTCCTGTCAATTCTGAAACCTTTGCATTCCAGCCATTTATGTGGCCATCAACATCAACAGCAAATATGGGAGCAGTGGCAGTTTCTATCAATCTAACCATTTCTCTAGCCACAGAACTCAGTTCATCTACCCCTTGCAACTCCATCTCCGCAAAATGGGAATGTACAACAGCCTTAGAATTGCTATGCTCAGCATCTCTAATCGAGTCTCGCAGAATAAGCTGCAAAGAGTGAATTGCATCCATTTCTGCATTCTCCCATGGCAAACTACGGCTTTTTACCACTTCAAGAAATGCCTTGAAGGAAGAACGAGGATGCATTCTCTGTCCATCGTCCTTATCCTCGGGGTGATGCTTTGCACCACCCCATTTGATCTCTTTTGCCGTGTGGGATCTGAACCAAAAGAGAAAATCTTTTTCTGTGATATAAGCAACAGCCATCCCGCAAACCGCATCCCCAAGAGAGGCAGCCCCAGGATAGCCAGCATCAGCCAGACTATCAGTACTCAAACCCGTCGAATCTCCATGGAAGGCCAACAACCACTCTATGATGTCCCTTATCTGAGACTCAGCAGGGGTGACACCTACGGGGTAGTAAATCCCTTGGTAGTAGAGAGCAGCTCCATCACACTTGACCAAGTCCATAATACTAGGACTCTGAGTAACAATGCCAGTAGGAGAGTCCCTAAGAAGCATGTCACACAAGAGAGTCTGTGTCCTCAAAACTCGTTTCTCCAACGACTGCGCCGCCAACTGAAGTTCCATATTCAATTGGAGCCCAAAGGCCTGCATCAAGAACTCACAAGCATACCTCAAAGGAAAAGGAATACACCTAGCAGAAGTATGATGGCAAACAACCAAACCCCACAGCCTCATATTACTCCGGCCGCCAACGGCTCCTTCATCACTCCCATTGATGATGACAGCCATAACCAAAGAAGCAATAGACCCCATATTAGCCATATACTGAGCATGACAACCATGTGGGGCACGAAGGGTGGAACCAACTAAACACAGAGGCTGCACAAGGTTCTCATCCTGAACAACCCTCACAGGAGAAGCATGACAATCCACAATCATCCTAACCCTATTCTGCTTAAATAAAAACCTAGAAGCCTGAGGAATATCAGTGGCAGGGTAATGCAAACCAATATAAGGCTCCAAATCAGGCCTCTTACTCTCAGCAACAACCTCACCATGCTCATCCTCATGAAACTTATACACCATCACCCTATCATAACCAGTCAATTCCCTAACACTCTCAACCACGGTGTCACAGAGGAGTTTCACATCGCCGCCGGGAAGAGCCTGAAGCCGGGAAATGGCGCGAACCGCGAGCTTCTGAGACTGAACGGCGCCGGCGATTGAAAGCGCAGGGTCCTCCGTTCTGGCGGGCTCCAAATCGATGACGATGCCGACGTCAATCCGGTGGAGGATGCCGTAAAAAGGCTTCCCGGAGCTCCGGGAATGGATCCAAATCGGGTTCACGAGGCTGATTTCGCGAGCGCAAAAGGCCTTCTCGAGGAGGATAGCGCTGGAGGGAGTGAAGAGAGAGCGAATGTCTGCGCCGACGGCGAAGGCGGCGTCGGAACCCTTGTCGTCGAGAGAGGGGACAGACTGAGGGGTTATGCCGAGCATGTCGCGGGCGTTGTCGGAGTATCCGAGGACTCGGAACGTTGGATCGTCGACGGCGATCATGCAACCGAACGGCTGGATGAAACCGCCGCGCTGAATCTTAGCTAGGTAAGCCGTAATCTGCTTCTCCGGCACCGATTCGGCGGCGATTCGCATGGACTGCGAGTAATCGAAGGACTCGCCGGATTGCTCGAAAACGGCGTGCAAACGCGCGTCTTCGGTGTACTGAGCGATGGCTTTGCTCATCGATTCTGCGTTGTTGTTGTTGTTGTTGTTGTTGTTGTTGTGTGGTCGTTTTGTTGTGGTCGTTGAGCTCTGAACTTGTTGGTGAACTGAAATTGCTGCTCTGCTTGCTGAGGCCATTCAAAAAAAATTGGATCGAAGAGAAGAGAAGAAGAATGATAGTAATATCAGAGCAGAGTAGGAAGAGCCAAAGAGTTAGAAAAAGTGAAAACAACTGAAGAGTGGGTTAGTGAGTGAGTGATAGCGCCAGAAGCGGCATAGAAGAAACGCTTTTGTTCTTGTTTGGCGTCTTTCTTGCACCAATGCTCGATAATAGCTTCTCTCTCTCTCTCTCTCTCTCTCTCTCTACATGTGACCTTGTGGTCTAAAAGCAAAGACAACTTTTTTTTCTTTTTCATTTGAATTATAACGTTACCAGAAAATGTATATATTTTTAATATATATAAGTTTGTTTATGATTATTTTTAAAACTTAGATTTACGTTTTCCGAGTTTAACTGCTTGACATTAATTTTTATGTTTTTAATTGTTATCGGTTTATGTTCTTCTTTTTTTATTCATTTTTCTTTCTTCCATTTTCCTTCCGTCATTGGTTGTTGTTTTTTTATTTTTTTGGTTTTCTCGATTTTGCTGCGATGGATTTTCTTGTGGCAGGACTTGGGTCATTGAGGAGTGAGGAGTCAATGTGATTATTGGTGTAAACTTTGCCGCCTTTGGACAACGTTAGATTTGAGAGATTCTCGAGTACTTTAATAATGTTTCTTGTACTAAAGCTGTTACAATCTTCCTATTACTCTCGTGTTAAATAATCAGATCAGGTGAACTTTTTTTTATTAAATTATTTAAAAAATTTGTGTCTATTTATCTTAACATAAATTCAATAAATAAAATTTAATTATTATTAAAAAATAATAATCAACATTTGCGTGATTAAAGATTAACAAACCCATTACAAACTTTTATTTTAGGATTATAATTACTTTTGTTGATAAGAATTGATTAATCACTCGAAGGACTTTGGTAAAGTGCTGCTGGAACTATTACTTCATGTTGAGGAATTGTTATTCCGTTTAAATTTCTTTCTGTTTTTTATTTTTTTTCTCACATCCCATGATTTCAGGCGCTCACGAATGATATTGTTTATTTATTTATTTTTTTAAATTATAAGTATCTTTAAGATAATTTTATTCGGATAAACACATCTCTCATCGTTACCTGCTCAACTTTTATACCCCACATAAATTACTTCATGGTGCAAGTTGTTTCATGTGAATAAATTTGTGTCAGAGAGCAATTATGATTTGGTATAACTAAATAATATTATCCACACATGAATAGTATAATTAGTATTTTACATATAACTAATAAGATTTGATTTTGATTTAATTATAATTAAAAAAAATTACACAATGAATCATGTAATGCTTCTTTTTTTTGGTAAACGTAATGCTAATCATTTTAAGAACCAGTTAAAAAAATGTATTGCAAAGTAAAATATTTTATTCATTATCTAATTTGTTGAAACTAATTCAATTTATATTTTAATTAATAATTCAGATAAAACAATTTATTAGTAATTGCACAGCGTGCATATCCGTATATTTTTTTAATTTTCTTATATATGAATATAAATAATATATTAATATGTCTGCCTCTGTTACTGTTATTCTTATAATTGAAATAGTATATTGAATCGTGCATGTTTCAACCTCCAAACAAAATATTTCTATCAATAAATAGCTATTTTTCTTCCAACTACGTGAGGCATTTTTGCTTAACACAACTGTTTTACTTAAAAAAAATTTAAAAAAAAGAAGAAATTAAATTTATAATATATAGTTTTGGAATTAATTTTTAAATTAATTATAATTATTAATAAAAAAAATTGAAAAAACATGTTGTTTTGCCGCTGAACGAGTGTCACTCAAATTATGACAAAATTTTGTATAAGTACGAAGGGAATCATAATTTTGAAGGCTTTGATTTCTATTCACTTCGCAAACATAATGTCATTTTGCATTTGAATCACATTATTTCATGGGGTGTTTAGTAAAGGAGTATTTTCATATTGCTACGTTTGGTTGATAGTAAAATTTTACTGAAATTGGGGTTCGAACCCCAACTCTTGTGAATGGAAAGCATTCCGTGGCCAGCTCTTTACCGCTTGTGCGCTGACCCGAGGCGATGGATTAGTCTTATGGCTATCGGCTGCGGGAATACCCGGATGTAATCCAAAAAAAAAAATGCTGGAATTTTGGATGGAATTTACAAATCTACCCTCAATTTTAAATATTAAGTCTTTTTTTTTTACAATATTCATATCCCACTCAGGTTTGTCTCTCTCTACTTGTCAAATATTCAACATTGTTTAATGTTTGGGAAAGGAACAATTCCATCTAATCGGTGAAATTATTTAGTTGGGATTTCCAAATCATAAACACAGCATTTCCAAATACCAAGATTTAAACTTTCTCTGGATAATTTCACTTTTATGCCTACCAAATGTTGCATTCCTATTTACCCAACCAAGGAATCCTAAGAAAACAAAAATAATCCGACTACCTAACGAGCCCTCAGTGTGATTGGGCAAACATACATGGAAGTGTCGCCATAAGAACATAGGTAATATATTCTAGGAAATAATTAACCACGGATTCTGGGCATCATAAAAAGAACAAAATGTGAGTGGTAGAAAACTTAGTAAAACTGATTTAGGAACATCGACACGAAAATTATTGTCTCCTAAATTTGTCTCAACAAGTTGTATCCATTGAAGACTAACATTCCATCAAAGCCATCAATCGGAACAATTCCATCGAATCACCTCTATTTAGTCATCCACGAAGACACCCACAACATAATTTTAACGAAAGTATAATTTGTTACTATGTTGAGGAGAACAAACCCTAGATGCGTATAATTATCAAAGATTCATTTGCAGAATTATAGATGGATTTATCTTCCACAACATTTGTTACTTGATTAGATGACATTATCAATTTTTTCATGGATAATTTATTAACGAGCGTTTGTTTGTCCAAAATATCCATCAACGATTATGTTAAATATCAGGATCCAAGAGGCCTTTACTGAAATCCATGTCTTAACTATACAATGAAGACTCTATTATATAACTTACTAAATGAAATAATCAAAGAGATTTAACATGATGTGGGACTTTTTCCATATACACTATACTATTATATACAATCATATTTACAACATTCCCCTCAAGCTAAAACATATAGATCATATGCACCAAGCTTGTTACTTATGTGATCTATCTGAGGCCCTCTTAAAGACTTAGTGAATACATTAGTTAATTGATCATTTGAGTTAACAAAACTAATGATTGTACCTCTTGAGCTAGTGGCAGTTCATGTTTTGGCTCATCGGAATTTTCTTTACATAACACTAAAGAGAAAGAAAATAGAGATGGCGGGTGATGAAAGCAATGATAGTGTTGACTAGAATTTTCTATCTACATGATGATAGGAGATCAGGACTAACGATGATAAGTTTTGAAGAATAATGAACTGTTATTTTTTTTAGATACCCCTTAATGAATGAGATTATCCTTTTAAAATCTCAGGGTTGTGTGCTATCCTTTTCTTTAATTTCTCTCCATCGAAAGAAAAGAGTCATCTTCCTTTTTTTGTTTGAGTAAACACCTTTTTTAGTCCCTGTCAATATCTACGAAGTCCTTTTTAGTCCCTGACAATAAAAAAGGACCAAATTGGTCCCTGAAATTACAAAAAAAGGGCCATGTTAGTCCTTATGTCAACTCCCAAATATGTAGAGTGACCCTTTTCTTGTACTTTCAGGGACCAATTTGGTCCTTTTTTATTGCCAGGGACTGAAAAGGACTTCGTAGATATTGCCAGGGACTAAAAAGGGTGTTTACTCTTTTTGTTTTATTCTTTCATCCTCTCCAACGAAGTATGATCTTCTTTAGAGTTATTGATATTCCTTAATCAGCTTGTCATGCTCTGCAATGAAACAATATTTCCAATGGTTTAGCCCTTCTTTTCTCCAAATTGTCCACAGGAAGTAGATTAAGACACGAAAGATTAGGTAGAGTAGGACCTTGGTAGAGCTCCACTTACATTATTGAAGGAGCGTTTCACAGCATGAACAACCAAGGTTATTAAAATCGCGTGTAAAATAATAATATCGACCAATTTTACAATTTTTATTGTTCCTACAATTCAAATCGTATGTAGTATCGTTTCATTCCATATCAACATTTATGAACGTGGAATCAGTGGGATCGTACACCCACCATGTTTGTGATTGAAAGAAAAAGCATAAACAACCCATAACTAAAAGCCCACCTAAAAAACGTCCACTAAAAAACACAAAATTATAAAAAAAATGTACCCATCTAATCTAACTTTCATATGTTAAAAAAATTCCCAATCGAAAACCCTACGATGTGTGAGGCTCACTGGTGCTACGTGTTTGAGGCTGACTACCACTATCATTGTCAACTGGTGTTATGCTGCTACTAGCTGTCTATCTTTTGCCACCTAGCTTGAGTGACTCTCACCTTGGTTTATTCTACTCTATTTTTTACAACATAGCTATTTTGCAACATTTAATCATGTAAGCATAGTTTCTTTTCTTTTCTTTTTTGGAATTGGTAAATGAGCAGTTTTGAAGGGCAAAACCACTAAAAAACAAAGCATAAACAACAAGTAAATAATCCCAAAATTGGAAAAACCAGCAAGGAGGGGAAAATGAGAGACTATTCAAAATAGATGGAATAAAGAAAACTTGAGGGTGTGTTATGTGTATGAAGCACAACACAAATAAACTTCCATTGTTTCAGTTCTAGTAATACACGTGTGTATATATATGCATACTAAGATCTTTGATAATAAATATAACATTTGTTTTTTAACAAGAAGTGTTTTTTGTTTTCTTATTTTTTGGTGGGAAAAGACATCATTTTTTCTTATTTTCTTTTTTTTTTTGATGCATTATCAGTGATATACTTTGTTGTTGTTCTCATAAATCTTATGGTAAAAGAGTTGTGCTAGTTTCAAGATAAAACTAATTATAATATATGAAATTCACTCTACACATTAAGCAGTATAAATGAATTGATCGAATAAATGGAATACTTTATGTTATATTGATTGAATTGAAATGCATGAGTAAATTTGAAAGATTTTTCTGTTGCTTGCTATATTAAGGTGATTGATTTTGTAGTGATTATAGGCTTATTATTGTGACTGATTTGTAGACTAGTAACTAGCAATTATGGTATATTATGCTTGCAGGGTCAAATATTTGACAATGGGGCTATTGATGAACATATAGCTCAATGGAAGAAAACAGG